CATAATGGTGGCACAGCTTGCGCCAGGTGCCAGCAGGGCATAGCCTCTGCTCCCAGTGCTGCTGAGCCTGCATCAGTGCTGGGAATGGGGGCTCTGCCCTGCTGCCACCTGCCCCCTTCTGCCTGGAGCGAGCCACGCCCACATCCTGTCCCCCCCACCCCAGCCCTGGCTGGGCAAGTGGCAGCAGGCTCCGCCCTGGCTGGGCAGGTTGTCCCAGCTCCAGCCCCAATCCCTCCCTGCTTCCCTCATGACCCTTCCTTCCCCGTCCTCCAACACCAACAGATTTACCAGCTGGAGGCAGCTGTCAGCTGCCTGTTTAGTCTATGGCCGAATCTCCAAATTGGCCGAATCTTTTTCAAAGATTTTCTGAATCAATCTGGATGCTTTAAATTGATTTGGAGCTTTTACTTGGTCTCCCCATTCGATTTGGATTCAGGGGTTTGGTCCCTGAATTGGGCTGAATCTCCTCCGAATCAAATAGTTTCATAGTAGCTAGGGTCAGGAGGGACCTGAACAGATCATCTAGCCTGACCCCCAGCCACAGGCAGGCATGAATGCTGGGTTCACAAGACCCCAGACAGGGGATCGTCCAACCTCCTCTTGAATTTGCCGAAAGTAGGGGCAAGGACCACTTCCCTGGGAAGTTGCTTCCAAATTTTCGTCACCCTAACTGTAAAATATTGGCTTTTGATCTCTAACCTAAACCTGTTCTCCATCAGCTTATTACCATTGTTCCTTGTCACCTCAGGTGGTGCTGGGGAGAAAAGGGCTCTGCCTATTTGCTGTTGATCTCCCTTGATGAGCTTGTAGGCAGCTACCGAAACTTGATTGTATCTAATTTATCTACATACATTTTAACTTGTTCTCACCTGTGATCCTATAAGTGTGTTAAAACTAATTTAATGAAACATTTGGTCACAATTCACTTTTTTTTTGTGAAGACTGAAGAAAAGACTTTGAATACTTCAGCCTTGTTTGCATCAGTCATTATCTGCTCTCCTTCCATGTTAAGTAATGAACCTATACTTTCCTTTATCTTTCCCTTACACAGAACCTTTTTTGTCTTTTGCTATTTGTAATTTTGGGTGTGCATAGTGTAGTGCAGTGTAAAGATATCTAAATTAACTACCTGAGGTAGCAGAAACAGTGTATTATAAGCCTGGAGCTCAGTGGAGGCTAATTTTCCCTCTCTGCTCAGAATACTGCATTAATGTAGCTAGATTCCTGGTACATCAGCTGGTTTGTTTAGAACTACCCTGGGTGTCCGCAACATTACACTGTGCAGTAATGAATACAACCTCATTTTGTGCCTTGGCCTTTTGGCATTTGTTCCCGCCTGCTTGTTTTATCCCTTTATATTCATCTTCAGTCATGCGTACTTGTTACCACAGTTACTCTGATTCTTTTTTGATGTCCAGGTCCTCAAAGAGCTCTGGATGTAGTCCTATTGGTCTCTAACTTGCATCTTTAACATTGTTTTATTTCAGAAATGCCAGCTTTTCCCTTCACCCATTTATTCTGAGTCTATGCTCCCAGGAGATCCTGTGTAACAGTTCCCATTGCCTTCTTTTTGTACTGCAACTTCTTTCTTTATAACATGAACTTCATCATTTTGAGCATCACTTTGTACCTAGATTATCTTCCACCCATTCCTTCCTATTAAAATCTAAAAAGGCCATTTTTCTAGTAACTTCCTCCATCTTCTGAAATAAAGGAGCTTGCTGGATTCTCTATGTCCTGCTATGCTGCTTTTCCAACATATATCTGAGTAAAGTCTCCACTAAGGCCAGGTCCTGCTCTTCAGATGCCTCTGTTATTTGTGCAGATAAAACCTCATCTTTCTCATTAAGCAGTGTATATAGGACATTGCCTCTATATTTTTCCCTTTTCTCTTCACTCAGAGACATTCACCAAATCTGCCTCTCAGTTCTTCTTGAAGTTGGGAGCAAGTATATACATTCTTGGGAGGGCGCAAGCCCACCCTGCCGCCTGAATCTCAAAAAAACTGTACCCTTTCATACCAATATTTTTGATCTGTGATTTATCCCACCAAGTCTCTGTAATGCTGATTAAGGTCTAATTTTGGTTGTGCACTAAGACTTCAAGCTCTTCCTGTTATTCCCCCAGAGTCCTGCCTTTGATGTGTAGATGTCTGACATCTTTGAAAGTTTTCCTCATTTTTCTCCTTATTTCTCCTGTGACCCTATTGCAGTGTCCCATTTTCTCCTCAGATTTTAGCCCTTTGACCAGGTCACTAACTTTTCACTCACTTGCTGGCTTTTGTGATCATCTCCCTTTTCTGAGTGAGAGTATAAAAAGGCATCGTGAGAACATAAAACATCTTCATAACTGAGGTGAATATGGATGTGACAGGTTTGATACATTTTTTTCAGCTTGCATTCCAATTCTCATTTCAGTTGGGAAAGGATCCATGAGAGAGTACGGAGCCTTCTCACCTCAAACCAGGCCAGGCAGAGGCTTTCATTTGTGAGTATTAATAATACAGCTCAATAGTTGTGGATGCTGATATGATAATGTCACCAGTTATTTGCCCTAGCTAGGTTATTGGGTGCTGTGCCCACTCATCTGACTCCTGCACCCCTGGCCCTGGTCATCCTTAAAGATTCCAATTTAGTTTTCAGGGCCAAAGTTTTCCCCTGCAAAAATGTATGTGTATAGGCATGGACTAGGAGTTGCTTCATTGCTATCTGCCCCTACTTCTGCACTGTAAAGGAGAAATAAAGTTGGTTTTTTACCAAGCACAGAAGAAATGTAGCAGTGGTATATGTGGTTATTATAACAGAGAAGGGACTGAGAACCTAAGAGCAATTTGGGATTAAGAACAGGTAATATAATTTTGGGACCTACACACTCTCATGAATGGAGAAGAGAATTAAAAGGGAATGGATTTTGAAGTGAGGAAGTATAGTGACAGAAGCAGGAAAGGTAGTTGATATGGATAGCCATCAGGACTAACCTGGAAGTGAGCCACCACACAAGCCTGGATACTGTTATGTACAGACATCTCTTTGATAATGTAGTGTTTCTGCATCTTGCCTAGTGCCCCTTGCAGCTTTACATGAATCTAAAGGAGTGATCAGCAATTCACAAGACAATTTTACTAGGGTTGCCTTGTACACATATCCAATGTAATCAGAGATACTCATGGCATTTCCAAACTCTTCAACTTATTTTTAATTTTTAATAACACTTTCATGATACTTAAAGGGAAGGGATATCAATCTGAATCATTTTGCCTTCTCCTTAGGTGAAACTCTGAAACCTTTATTGATATGAATAGTTTCACTGAAGTTGCACAAGATATAAAATTACATCTCTTACTGTCACTTTTCCCCTCTGGAAAATTGGCTAATGATGATGATAATAATTTCATGACAGGATGATGGAAGTCAACAGGCAAGGGTTGCAGGATTACGTTCTTCATTTCACTGGGATATTTAAGAACTCTACATCTTAAAATTCAAGAAACTGTTGTTATCATCTGTCACGTGACTGCCAGCCAGTGTAATTGTCTTCAGCTTTACTTCTCATGAACTCAAAGCAAGAGAGTTTTCTTGATAACAGTTACATTTTTCAGTGAACAAGTCCTCATTGAGCCAGATTAATGCCTACTGCAGCTCCAGCCCCATTACTGGAGTTACACTTGGGATGGATTTAAGACTCAGGGTTGGCCACAAAGCAAATCAGTGATGGATCTGGAAACAAAATGTAGATCTTCTTTCTTGGACCTCTGTTCCACAGTGTTTCCATGGGACTCTAAATGCCAATTATTCATGAACCTACAGCACTTTTCTGGTCATAAAAAATGTTATAGTCATGTGGAGCGTACTTTTTTTCTTATTTTTATCTTATGACTTGTATTAGTCAGAGACTCTTTTTGTTACAACTCTTAGGTGCAGAGAAAGGTAGCTAGCTGTGTTAGTCTGAAGTCAGGCAGAAGGTAGGACAGGGTGGCACTTTAAAGACTAGTTTAGAAAGGCAAAAGTGGGCTGTCACCCACAAAAGCTTATACATTTCTGAACAGGTCTCCAACCTTTAGATGTGCAGACAGTTCCGCTGAACACGCAGTAGGTTGTGTTACTTACTTCTGTGTCTTTAAAATGAAGCTTAACAATGAGGCTTTCCAATCACCCAACAAAGCTATCAAGGATGGAGGACACAATGCTAAAGCTGTTGTCCTTAAAAAAAAAAAATTACTAAAGTTTTAAGTCAGGAGTGTCCAGGATCCATCCCACAGGCTGGATCTGGCCTCTAGAGCCCCATCATCCATCCCCTGGTGCTGCCCCTGGGTCTTGAGTTGACAAAAACATTTTACACTGTGTGTGCCAGACCAGCTCCACACACAGGACCTGGGATGTGAGCTGCATGTGGAGCCTGCCTTGGCTTGTCCAGGATATGTGGTACATGCAGTGTCTGCTCTGGGACCTGCTTTGCATACAACACCTGTGTTGGGCCAGTCTGGGACCCTGCATCCTGGATCCAGCACCTGCTCCAGCTGTCTGGCCCACTCTGGCTGGTGCACACTCTGGCTCCAGGACTATGCTGCATATGGTGCCTGCTTCAGCCACTCCAGGGTGGATGCTTTCACAGGTACCAGATTGGCTGAAGCAGACACTGCATGCAGAACAGTCCTGAACTGGCTAGATGGAGTGCCATGGGTGCTGGATCCGGCATGCAGGTGGAAGGCCCATGGGCCTGATCTGGCCTGTGGGGCCAGCTCTGTGCCATTTGTCTTGCTCTTGGACCAATACCATCCCACTTATCCAGTCTGTGGGGCTAAGTGATTTTGACACCTATGGTTTAAGTCTTCTGGAAACAGCTGATAGGTTTGCTTCTGACTTGTTGCTTTAACAGAGATACGAGACTAAATAATGAAGTTAACTGGATAGGTTTTTTGCAGGGAGCCACTGAATCTGAGGTTGATGAGGTCCTTGAAAGAAGGTGCATCTCTTTGAGGAGTTCCCCACAGAATGACCTGCTGGAGCAAAGATATTGCTAAGAAGTTGTCTTCAGAAAGGTAAGGAACTTAATTTTTTCTTTTTACCTTTAGATATTCTGGCCTTATTTCAGATCCAGAAAAGTCACAGGTAAACTAATGTCCTCACAGGAAAAACTGTAGTAAGAGTATTCTGAGTAGCACTGTCCCCTGACTGTAGAACCGCAGCTGTGATAGTACTATCACAGCTAGATATAACTTTATGTTCTTAACTATCCAGTCATTTAATGATGCTCAGAAAAGAAATGGCATCGTATGTGTCTTTGTTGTCCTTTGTTTATATGGGAAACATTTTTTAAAATCAGCTATCTGTCAACCCTGCAAAAGTCATTATAAGATCTGAAAATCAGACTGCGTTCTTTCTGGTTTGTGCATTATCACTGGCAGCAAAGATTCTGCAGCTGGAACTTTAAATACTTAACAATTCTACATTGAGTTTGGAAAGGGATCAGGGGATGTTAAAAGTGCCCAACTTTTGGTGGGTATCTAACACTCCTCAGCTCTTTAGAAAACCCTAGCCACTTTTTACTGCCATGTAAAAGAACAGAATTGAGTGCAGCCTCCCTTAGATGGTTTGATGCTACAGTACTAACAGGAGTACTGCTAGTAAATTGAATCTGGTAAAAATTATTGCCCGTAGAGTATGGGAATAAAAATACATGTATATCAAACTTGTTGAGCAATCTGATGCCAGTTGTATAGAATCACTTTTCAGACCATAATCACTGTTTGAAATAATTCAGTTTCTCAAGTATTTTTCTTTGCTTTGCACCCAATTTTTCATAACTTGGCTCTGTTTGAAACAGCTGCCTGAAGCTTTATTACTCAGGCCACACAGTGGCAGATCCAGGAACGGGGCAAGGGAGGGGGTGCACCCCCCACATAAGCTTTAGTTGTGTCGTGCAATGCACAGCAATCCCTGGGCTCACCAATTGATCAGGGTGAGGTCTGGCTGGAGCTCCTACTTTTTCATGGCTCCGGAGTCCAGGGGGTGAGTGTTGCTGTTTTTCACTTTCCCTCACCCCACTGAATTAAATAGCAAGGGAAAGGAGCGGAGAAGTAGCAGGCGCAAAATTCACCCCAACCTTTCCAGGGGCTTCAAACAGACCCCCCAGCCAGACCTCACATGAAGCGCAGCCAAAAGGGGGTGCAACTCCCTCTGGACCCACACCAAGGCCAAATTTTGGGGTCTTTTAACGAAGTGAAACTCTTGTTGAGAACTTTAGAATTCAGAGTTCCTTTAAGGACTTCAGAACTTGGCCACAGTGATTTACTTCATTTGTATTTTAAAGAAGAAATCTCCTGAATAAATCTACCTGTCCCAAAGTGTCAGCAGATCCTTAATAAGTAGTTAAATATTTTCTTCTTCTCTCGTACTATTGCTATTTATAACCTCTGAGTCCCTCATTTTGGTAAAATATGAATGAAAAACTAAGCAAATTCTGCTGTCAGCTCCGTATGTACAGTGCTTTTAACTTCAGTTGAGTGGTATACACTTGTTTTAAAGAGCATATTTGGCCTATAGCTTTTAAGAATTAATGCCATTATAAATAAAGCCAGAGGAGGGAAATGTCCCTTATTAAAAATGTGTAGGGATTTTCAGCATTACATTAGGTAATTAAATGCCTAAGTTCTGTTGAATTCCATTTTTTTCTGGGGTCACTTTGAAAATCTTAGCCAGAAATCTCACCATTCCCCAAAACTATTGGCTATTTTTTTTTTATAAATAGGTATATGGAATGCTTTATGTTCATAATGCTATTCCAATGACTGTTAAACAAGTATTACGGTAGCCTAGAAAGTAGGGGTGCACCAATAAAGATTTTCTTGGCCGATACCAATAGCCGATTATTAACCAGACATATCGGTTGGTACCAATCCAATAACTGATTTGGTTACATGTGATGCAGAGGCTGCTGAAGTATGCCAAAAAAGAAAAGGTTATTTATATCAGTACTTTAAAATGTACTGACATAAATAATCCAGTTTTTTGGCACACTTCAGCAGCCTCCGTGTCACATGTATCAGTGTCCAGCACTTAAAAATGGGGGCAGAGGCACTTGAACTGAAGCTTGTCAAATGAGCTTTAATTCAAGTGCCACTGCCACCATCTTTAAGTACGGGGATACTTTTAGGCGGGGAAGAGCCAAGCAGGATGAGGTCAGATGCAGGTTGCCCGCTGCAGGCTCAGGGCTCTCCGTCCTGCTGACTTTGCCCCAGGAGCCTGTGCGTCCCCTGCCCACCTGGCAGCACAAGGCACAACTCACCGCCCCCACTGCTGCTGGGTGGGCAGGAGGTGCACGGCTGGCACAGGGCTACTGAGGAAAGGGCAGCAGAGTGGAGAGCCCTGTGCCCACAGTGAGCAGCTGTTATCTGCCTTGTGCACAAATCTGAGGGTGCACATGTCCCTTCCCATGCCTCTGCTGGGGGGTGCATACAGTGGTGGGAAGATGCCCACCTCACACCCCCTGGACGAGCTTCCCATGACTCTGTCTTGCTTCCTGCCCCAGCCCCTGGTCCTGTGCACCCCCTGGCTGGGCAGCATCCCCAGCCTCTGCCCCTCCCCCACTTCCTCCTTCACCATGGGGAGCCCCTTTGCCTCCATGGACTTACCTGCTGCGAGCTGCTCTTCACACTGCCCAGCTATACTCCTGGCCATGTGCATGCATGCAGTTGCACACATGCACATGGTGTTCCCTGCATTTTGCTCCTGGCAGACCCAAGCAGGACCCCTTGCTGCCTGTCTGCAAGAGGAAACTTGCCATTTCCAAAGGGAACCCAGGTATCCAGGGCCCTGGCCCTGTGGGTAAGAGGGAACCCAGGTGTCCAGGGGCCCCAGCCAGAAGGCATAATTAATTATATTTATCAAAGAACATTGTTGGCTACAACAGCCAAAAAACTGATAGCCGATAATGTACATTTCCCTTTTATCAGTGCCGATCTGATATGCAACCCAAATATCAGTGCATGTCTACTAGAAAGTTGTTTACATCTGAGAGCAGTTTATAAGTACTGTGGAGCTAAACCTCTTTTCTCAACATGCACTCTGTGTATTGGAGCGCATGAAGAGGCACTGGGCCCTCAAGAGACTGGACCCCAGATGCAGTGGATAATAGTTTTCCTGGCTGGAGGCTAAGGACCAACTATTAGGAAGGCCAAGGCAGAGATGGAACTCAGGCTAGCATCCAGGATTAAGGACTACAAAAAGTCCTTTTTCAAGTACATTGGGAGCAAGAAGAGGGCACCAGGAAATGTAGGGTCCCTTCAAGACACAAACGGTAATCTGGTGGGCACGCCAGACAAGAAAGCTGATATTTTTAACAGTTTCTTTGCCTCTGTTTTCCTGAACAGGGATTGGGATATCCCACCTACCAGAGGTAGGGACAATTTTGGGGATAGCTCTATCAAGCCTTCAGTCAGTGCAGATGTAGTTGGGGATCTTCTGGAAGGGCTAGACATTTTTAAATCTGCAGGTCCAGATGCCCTCCACCCTAGGGTGTTGAGGGAGCTGGCAGGGGTCATCACGGAGCCTTTGGCCCGGCTGTATGAGCATTCGTGGTCATCTGGCCAGGTGCCGGGGGATTGGAAACTGGTTAATGTGGTCCCTATTTTTAAGAAGGGGAGGAAGGAGGACCCAAGTAATTATAGGCCTGTAAGCCTCACCTTGGTGCTCGGGAAGCTCTTGGAGAGGATCATCAAGGAGCATATCTGTGGGGGGCCTGCAGGGGAGATCATGCTCAGGGGCAATCAGCATGGGTTCACCAAAGGCAGGTCCTGCCAGACCAACTTGATTGCCTTTTACGAGCAAGTAACTAAATCCTTGGATGATGGTGTCACTGTGGACATAGTCTTTCTAGACTTTAAGAAGGC